TGTTTAGAGCTCTCTTTTCTTTATCTGTGATGTTACCGAACCACACAGACACAGAACCAACAAGTAAACTCTCAATGGTGCAGCGATAAAAGTTCAGCAGAATCTTAGAGTTAGTGGTAAATTCTCTAAGTTTCCGCGGGAAGTAGAGACGCTGACGAGCTTTCTTTACGACCCGGTCAGTGTTTTTAACCCATTTCAGGTCATTAGACAGAGTTAGACCCAGAAACTTACACTCCTCTACAATCTGCACTTGGGAGTTATCGATTGCGACAGGCAAATGAGAACTATTGCGACTGAAATCAAAGACCAGTTCACATGTTTTGGATGCGTTCAACTGGAGGTTGTTAGCTTTACTCCACTGAACCACGTTTTGGATCTCGTCTCTATAAGACGATTCATCGTTATTACTGATGAGACCGATGATGGTGGTGTCATCAGCATATTTGATGATCAGGTTAGAGTCTGAGGAAGACACACAATCATGAGTGTACAGTGTAAAAAGTAAAGGACTCAAAATACATCCCTGAGGAGATCCAGTGCTCACAGAAACAACATCTGAAAAACAATCATTGATTTTCACTTTCTGAGGTCTGTCTGTTAAAAAGCTATAGATCCATTTACACATGGCAACACTTAAGCCGAGAGACATGAGCTTTTCAATCAGTATACCTGGGACAAGACAATTAAAAGCAGAGCTATAATCAATGAACAGCATTCTTGCAACAGATTTCCTATTGTCCAAGTGACTGTAGACAGAGTTCAGAGCAAAGGAGATGGCATCCTCCACACTCCTGTTCTGTCTGTAAGCAAACTGGAGCGGGTCAACACTCACAGGGATCTGGCTCTTAATGAAGTCCAGCACAAGCCGCTCAAAAGTTTTCATAAGAACAGACGTGAGGGCCACAGGACGATAGTCATTAAGGCATGTCACAGGAGTTTTCTTAGGAACTGGGATAATGGTTGACTCTTTGAAGCAGTTCGGCACAGTACAGTTCCTTAGCGACAGGTTAAAAATGTCTGTTAAAACAGGGGCAAGTTGCTCAGAGCACAGTTTCAGGACACGAGGAGGGATGCCGTCCGGGCCAGGGGCTTTCCGGACAATGGTACTGGACAAGACCCGCTGGACTGCCTCCTGAGTCACGGTGAACGCACCTTGATTGAGGCAATCAGGAAAGACAGTAGGACAGGCATCGGCAGATTCGAAGCGGCAGTAGAACGAGTTCAGCTCATTAGGCAGAGCTGGGCCAACAGATCCGATATTCCCAGCACTAGGTTTCCAGGACGTGATGGCTTTAATACCGTTCCACATGCGCCGAGGGTCATCTTCCTTAAAATAACCCTTTAACCTGTCCCCGTAACTGCGCTTTACAGATTTAATAGAACGTTTCAATGCATAACAGGATAGCTTATAGGCAACTGTATCGTTAGATTGAAACGCCAGAGCACGCTCGTGAAGTGCTTCACTTCCGCGTTCATCCAAGGGTTTTGACTGAGATGTACTTTAATGACCTTCTGTGGGACACAGCAGTCAATACAGAAGCGTATGTATCCAGTCACAGCGTCACAGAATTCATTAACATCCTCTGACTGAAACACAGACCAGTCAGTGGCATCAAAACACCCTTGTAGCTTCATGCTAGCCTCCTCGGACCAACACTGCACAGTGCGTGAGGTTGGTTTATGTTCCCTGCTCCTCTGAGTGTATGAGGGAAGAAGGAGAACAGAGGAGTGGTCGGACTTTCCAAATGGAGGTCTGAGACTGGACCTGTAAACTCCCTTCACATTGCTGTAGCAGTGATCCAGAACATGTGCTCCTCTTGTAGCTCGAGTCACATGTTGGTAGAAATTTGGGAGTACAGTCTTTAAATTACATTTGTTAAAATCCCCAGCGACAATAATCACTGCATTAGGATGAGCAGTCTCGTATTTATGAAGGATCTCGCTCAGATCCTGTAGTGCTACAGTATAGTCCGCTCGTGGGTGGATGTAAACAGCGCATAAAAATATCACAGAAAACTCCCGCGGAAGATAAAAAGGGCGACAGCTCAAGACCAGGCATTCCAGATTTGCAGTACATGTATGGTTCACGATGCAAGTATCCGTGCACCAGCGCTGATTAATTAAAAAGCACACACCTCCACCTCTGGATTTCCCCGTGGTCTCCTTATCTCTGTCCGCGCGGTGAACGGTGAATCCCGGGGGCTGAACAGCAGAGTCCGGTACGTTCGTGTGGAGCCACGTCTCGCTGAGACAGAACACAGCGCAGTCTCGGGCCTCTCGCTGGCTCTGGACCCGACACAGGAGCTCGTCTGTCTTATTGGGCAGAGACTGTACATTCGCCAGGTAGATGGAGGGCAGAGCGGTCCTGCAGGAGCGGCATCTCACGAGCAGACCGCCTCGTTTTCCCCGGTGTCTGCGCCTCCTACGTCGGCTCCCGGTACCCAGCTCCACACCGCGGAGAGCACGGTGGAGACGCCCAGTCCCCCCGCTCTGTTCGCGGCCATTGCCGCGGCCCGCCTGCCATGTTTGACGGGCCTCACGAGTGGGGCACTCAATGAAGTCCGAGCACCTCAGTTCGGGTAAGACCTGCGATACTCCACAAGCTCGGTCCCGAATGTAGAGAAGTGTCTCTCGGTCGTACCTCACGGTGGCAAGTGTATCACAGACGAATAACAACATGGAACAGATAGTGCACACCAGAGCTCTTACTGAGGCGCCCTGACCCGGCGCCATCTTGCTCCATCTTGCTGCTGTATTTCAGGTCGCTTACTGATCTTGATTGCTGATCTCTGCTTATTTGAGCCAACTCTAAGGAGTATAAAAATTAGCATTTCCCCCTAAAATCACCATGAATGTATTAAAAATGGGTCTGTATGCAATGTATTTATCCTACAAGTAACGACAGAACAACTTTGAGCAAAGATCAAGTCCATTTCGGCGTAACCAAAATAGAACCGATTCCACAATTTATCCTGAATCTGTACAGGGATAACATGCAAACTCCATACAGAAATCCCTGGACTCGGACCCAGGACCTTATCACTGTCAAGCACAAATGCTAACCCCTGCATCACTGTAATACTTACCGTGTTATGATCGCACTTCCTGTTTTCACACAGTTTGATTCTCTGATCTGTGTTGGCGACTTGACAACTTGTTAAAGATTTGGGGCTATAAAATAAAATACATTGAATCTGTTTGTATTGATCATGATTTGAAAGACTAACCTAATCAATCCGGAGGTCAATGCCTCCCACGACCAAAGCATGGTTTCCAAAACGTGTGATATCGCGCCACACGTCATCCTGACCTTAAAATGTCTTTCCAATAAACAGCTGTCCATTTATTTCCCTCTCTCAGATTAATTCCGAAGGGCCGCTGACAATTTTTCATTGAACTGCATCTATCAGTCACGGTGCGGAAAAAGGCGTGCCGTCGGCCATTAGGCGCCGATGATACGCTCCTCATTAACTTCCCCTGACCGCCACCGTGACGCTGAAAGTGGGCGCGCCGCTTTGATGTCGCCTTTCATCTGACACTGTTGAACTCCGTCGGGGGCATTGGAGGCCAGACCACATGTGACTGAGACGTGCGCAGCAGACCTTTCTATGGGATGCAGTCACGTGGCTCTTTTGGTTGGCAATTTGTCTTTATTAGCAAACAAAAGCATACATACATACATACATACATACATATTTACATGCATACATACATACATACATACTGTACATACATACATACAGGTAGACATATGTGACGGCAGTAATTTCAGATAAATCAAGATAGTGTTGGAAAAATGTATGGATCATAATCAAAAAATAATAATGATGCGTATAATATATACACAGACTGTTCAATGAACACTGATGACTCTGTGTAAGGGTCAACCCATTATTGCAGATTTTTCACTTTTTAGGGTGAATGACCAAAGTTAATCTACTTTGATTTCAAGCACCAGCACTTTTGCCACCTCTGATTGTTTCTGGATGTGAAGATCTTTGAGTTTGATGGAAGGTACAAAAACACTGTAAACAAAATTAGAGCATTTAAAATAATTCAAGTACGTGATGCTTGTCTGCGCTGGTGCTAAAGCGAAGACTGCTACTAATTAGAAAAGTTTACAACTATAATTATAAAGTCAGAGTTTAACAGAAAATACCCAAATCACACGCATAAAAGTTGTTGCAACGTGATTTAGAATATAACCTGGCTAAATATTATCATTCGATTTAAAGATTCAATATATGTTTTCTATTTTAATGAAGTAACAGTTTATCGAAGGGTGTCAAGGTATTTGGTCAGAGGCTGATTTAAAAAACTACAAAAACTACATATATAGTTATTCGGGTACCACAACTTTTTTGGCTACACTTTTATACAAAATGGGTTCTCTTATGTTTGGAATGATCCAAAAGTTGACTGTTCCAGAATGATGTTTATATTTTGAATCAAAGTAAGTAATCTTCACAGACCAAGGTCACACAATTCTTAATCAGTAGTTCTTGATCAGTAATCTCCACTCTCTCCACACACGGTGATGACAGAAACAAGACACCGGACACACTGGTGCATCCAAGCCTCTAATCATCACCATCCACTCACTCTCTCATTACATTCAGACCTGTTGTACATGTTATTAGTGCTATGGGAAACCAGACACGGGGAGAACATGTAAACTCCACATAGAAACGCCTGCAGGTGGAATGGAACCCAGGACCTTCTTGCTGCGAATGAAAATCTCTTACCACTGTGCCGTTATTAAACTATAACTAAGTATATGTTCAAAAGTAAATTAATGAGGTGGTTGTCTTCTTGATAAACATGGCTTTACAATGATGTATAACATGCCAGAGTATATCCTAGTATAACCTCTTATTATCAGTGCTGCAAGTAAATAGCAAGAATTGAAAATAGCACAAATCCGATTCTTTTGGCTCTTGCATGACCTCCCCTGCTCTCCCAGACACCGCCCCGACACGCCGCCTTTCGCACGTACTGACCGTTGACGGTGAGGGACACTTCCTTCTCGGCCGCTCCCACCCTGGGGACCACCGCCCGGCACACGTACTTCCCCGCGTCCTCCTGCTTCACTGCCTTCAGGGTCAGCGTGTTCTTGTTGCTAAGGACCTGTCCAAGACCAAACAAAAAACCCAACAAAAGCAATTATCGGCACGGACAAAAGGCTTTGGCGTCATTACCAAACACAGCGGAGTTCATTGCATAGTTGGATGAAAGGAAGCCCCCCCCACCCCCCTCTCTCTCTTTCTTCAACCCATGGTCAAGGAAATCTTTTTATTCATACGGAGACAAAGGCAGGACGCATTCAGGTGTTCGAACATAGTTGGGCTATTGTTACCGAGAAGATCCGGATTGTTATCGGTGATTGGTTAAGCTGAGATATAGGTATCTATAGGATCCTAATTTCAAATGTCGGAGAGTTTGGATTATTTTAATGTTGTTCTATGTCTATCAGAATCTGGGGTATCTCTTTTTCCCCAACAGAGAGAAGGTGAAAAAAGTTAAATGTTGCGAACAAATCGGAAATATTAAACACATCCAAATGGGAATCACTATTTCATGCTTTAGGGTGAGTGAGGGTGGTCCTCTCTTTTTCACTTTTCTGTCTGAAAAAGCTGATCTAAAAATGTGACAGAAGCCAAGAAGACATCCAGGAACTAGTTAAGTGGATTTTATTGTATAATTCCATTTTTGTGTGGTTTTGAAAGTTAGCTACCCCAGCTTTCTAATGAAAATATTTACTCGTCCTGTCTTCCCCTTAATCCATTTCTGAAATGAATGTAACGCTTGAATTAGTTTATCATTAACGTTTAGTCTTTTGTACAAAGACAGAATCTGAAGTTCATATATTTTTACATTTTCACCATTTATTTGCATTTAACTTTTTTGATGTCTATACAAACCGTGATTGAACAGTTTGAAAACATTTGCTTTTGGATATTTTGCCAAAATCGTGCTGCCCTGTCACCAATAAAATCATTTATACTTTTTTTTTCCAGACACATTTTTAAAAGAGTTGATTGGACTCTACTATATAACTCTATAACTTTAGGTTGGAAAAAGTGATCAACTCTGGATTGTCTGTGAAATATTCTTTACCGGTGGGGCTCGGAAAGTTTGGGATTTTCTCAAACTGACAGCGTCTATAACTGTCTCTGTATCTGGCAGAAGAGACCGCACTGTACCATATGACTCATGTTTGAATGCAGCTGGAGAGGTGGATGGATATGTAGGGACCCCTGCAGAGACCCTTCACTACGGCACCAGGAAGAAGACAATATTGTTTCCAAACTGGATCTGAAAGTTTGTATCAATTCATCGAAGGACATTGTGGAACTTTTTGTATTTGAGAATCAGTAATAGAAAACAAGCTGAGAAGACCTCACATGCGCCTGCGACAGTTTGAGTCTTTGATATCCATATTTTATTATTAATACATTCAAATTTCAAAAAGGTAAAATAAAAATACTAAGGACTACTTTTTGTGACATCAATAAAGTTTATCTTATCTTAACTTATCACTGTGAATTTTTTGTATTAACAAGGTGTGGTGTGAATGCTCAAAAAGTCAATTAAATCAAAAATATAATTCATTTTAGTAAAGAGTTTGGTTGTTGCGCTGATGACATTTTGATGAACGGCAGATAGTGATGTTGTGCCTGTTGCATTGTGGGTGAGAGAGTAACAAACGCACCACTCCGGAGCCCCTCTTCATCCACACTATGGTGAGGGAGGGGTTCCCGGACCACGCACAGCCGAAGACCGCGTCAGAGCCCAGGTCCACCTGCAGAGACTGGGGTTCAGCTGCCATCCTGGGCCCAACTGCAGAGAAGAAAAGAGGATTAGAACATTTTCATCTTAAAATAGTTGAATTGTTGCTACATATATATCGAACAACTCAAAGTCACAAAAAAACATCAAACTACAAAATGTTGAACTTTTTGTCTCAATTTTATGAACATGAAACAGAGTAGGACATCTTAAGTTAGCCAAAAAAAAATTATAACACACCCTGAGTTGCACAATTTAGTTCCCATGTTCCTCTATAGAGACACACTCCCAGATCAGGTTCATTACAATATTAGTTTTTCATATAGTAGGCACGATGACTGCGCCACTTCCTGTAGGAGATGAGGGGGCCGTTCAATGCCGCTTGCAGATTTAATTAAATGTATTACTGCAACTGGCAAACTCATCACAGACTCATCTTTACGACTCACTGATTTAGAACATTTTATATTTGTGTGAGTGGGGTTGTTGACAAAGCTTCAAATCCCATGTGGAGCGCTGACGGGAGCAGTTCTACTGGTGGAAAGAGACGTCTCGTTTGTCAAAAGCACAGCCACAGAAGCATATGACACAGTTCATTTGAGGTCGCTGTGGTTTGTGAAGAGAAATAATTATACTCCCACAGCAACACTTACAGCAAGCAGCAACCATGCATTTGATTTAAAAGTCAAAATGGGAGAAGATAAAAAGTATTTATGGACAAAATATTATGCATTATTAAGAGTTGATTTTGTAAAAGGATCTAACGTGGTGACACACAAGTCTAGTGGCAGAAGTGGGACATTACATCTAAATGTATAACAACATAATAAATGCTAGACTGGATTTGAAAGCAGGTGGTTGTAAAGAATGTCATATGAATAGAACAATTATGGCGAGATTCAGACATTTAGATAAAAGAGGGGGATCCAAGGGACGTATTTGTGGTGATTTGTGCCGGAAGGAGCAAAACACAAACTTTATGAAACCTGTCCACTTCTGGTTTTTGCACCAAATCACAAGTCAAGTTGTCTTCATAATCACAAACTTTATGTGGAAAATCAGGTTGTGACATGAACAATTTTTCCTATTATGTTTTCTTTAAAGCACAAGAGGAATTCCATTCTCCAAACCATGTGTGTTTCTACCATGTGATATGTTGTATACTCACAGTATACGTCCACATTGCGGCTGATGTTGGTGTGTCCCAGGGCATTGGTGACCTCACAGGAGACCGGCTCGGTGAAGAAAGAGTGATCCACCACGGCCTCGTAGGTGTCTCCGATCACATCCGAGATCACACTGCCTCCTTTGGCCCACCTGAGCACAGCACAGACAGGCAGGTTTAGGATAATAGGAATTATGCATATAGAATATCTAGTAAGTAAGTAAATAGGGTAAGGTACCACAGTGACTGATGCCCCTCAAAAGTTCTCATTTCATTTGAAGTCATTTGAAGTTTGGTGGAAAGGAATATTATTGGATATGATTTGATTTGAGACTCATGATGACTTATAGGTACACTGTGTAGTTTTTACTCCCATCTAGCATCAAGATCATTTATTGCAATCTACGGTACTCCGGTAGCTTCAAAGGACAATATGTCATCTTTGATAGTGGTCCCCAACTCTCAGTCATCAGCCTTTTTGTCCCTTATCAACCACTGTATTTCAAGATGGCGCATTGACATGAGAGTGCTCCAGCTCTCATGTACATTTAGAAGTCAGAAGCCATAATTCGAAACATGGTGGAGGTAAATATTCTTAAAAAGGTCACATTTGTGACAACTTTGGAACATCACAATGAGACCATGAAACACACATATCAATCTGTCAAACTGACTGAGGACTGGGCCACAGCTAAGTCCCTCCATCCAAGCTCTTTATCTAAGCTCTTTACTCCTCAAGGATGAGCCCAGGACACATTAGAAAGATATGGAAGCTCTGAGGTTCTACTCAACCTGGCAATAAAATACCTTCTGATTGTGATTCTCAATGAGCACCCACTTCAGAAAACTTGTCCTTTAGGGTCGTTATGGTCATTACAAGCCTCTCATAGCCGGAGGTGAGGGTGAGTTAAACTTGGACTTAAGATCAGATAAGATAGACTTTATTAATCTCACACTGGAGAAATTTACATGTCACATTTGGCATGGATAGAATCACTAAGGGCAACATGTCAAGGTTAAAAGGTTAAACATATAGTCTGTTCTAAATTACATCGGGACCATATGCGAGAGCAGTACAGTCCAAACGCAATACTGGAGACGCTAAACAAACCTGTCTGTTCATGTCACTGTGAACAAAACATTAGGGACTATTGTATAATCAGCTGTAATTAGCTTTTGTTTTGTGACCTAGAGTTAAACATCATTATCATTCAGGTATTACATGTAGGTTCAGTGAACAATGTTGATCTATAAATGCCATAAACAGAAATGCATCTGTTGTCTTTCTGCTGTTTTTACCCTTGACCTCGGTAACACGTTAAAGAACACATCTGTTTGTCAGTGCAGAGAAAAGTGTTATTTGTTTTGTGATGAATGAAAGATTGGCCTTGTCTCACTGCGCCGTCAGGGTGATCACTGACTTCAACCCTCCCCATTGCAGCAAGAGCCACATCTGTGAAAAGTAGAATGTGAATGCATGATTCAGCACTCGAACGAGAAAAGGAAAATCTTCGACGGTATTATATTTAAAGAAATGTTCTGCGAAAGAAATGTTCAGAATATTTAAGGTGTTAAACTTATAAGTAAACTTATAAGCATTGAGGAAAATGTATAAGTGTATGTAAAGGATGTATTAATTCTTGGGTTTGAAATAGCGATAATAATTGCGTGTATCAGTAGAATCCATTGCCTTCAAAGACGTCTCAACTTTTATCTCCGGACAGAAAAAGAATAAATTGTTGGAAAGTTTTATGCCAAGATTGTACATAGTGTAACTTTGGAAGAAAATGACTAAAGATGCCAAGGTCTGGGATCGTGTCCCAACGGAAGACTTGTTTTATTGTTGGTTCACAGCAATATACCCAATATACACAGACAAAAAGTACTGACCTTTGCAGAATGTCAAGCTCAGTTTTAAAATAACTGCACACAAAGTCTCATAAACTATCCATACACACTTCAAATCTCCAGGACACACAAAGCCACAATCACCTTCAAACACAGTGTCACAGTCTGAAAGGGTCAGGGTCAAATGTCTATGACCCTTATTAATTTCACTAACTTCCAATTATAAATCACACTATATTTAAAGAAATTAAAGTTGAGGTGTGAACAAATCATATCACGCCAAGTATATTCAGCATACTTGTCAGAAAAAGCCTTGTGAGTCACTATTTGGCGCTTTGGGTTGCGAGCTGATTGACTGAATGAGGATGGCCATCTCCTTTTCACTTGTCTGTCTGAAAAAACTGTTGTAAAGATGTGACAGAAGCAAAAAAAATACATGTGAAAACTAGTGATAGGTCTGTTTTGGGATCCAGGAACTACTATAGATTAGATTCCCAGCAAGAAGGTCCTAGGTTTGATGCCACTTGCAGGCCTTTCAATGTGGAGTTTGCATGTTCGTCCCTTGTCTGTGTAGGTTTCCTCCGTGTGCTCCAGTTTCCCCTACGACTAAAAACAAGTACAATAGGTCTGGCATGCGCATTCTGTACGGCGACCCCACTCCCAACTCTGTGTGGAGAGCAGTGGTTTTTTTTTCACATTTTCCGGCCCCTGCGGCCATTTTTAAACGCTCCATGAGAGCCCAATTTTTGGCCTATTTCTTTGAACGGCGGAGATAGGCGTGAGTAAGTCCATTAATATTTACAGTCTATGGTGGAGAGAGAGAAAAATGCCCATAAAACTTCAAATGTAAAGCATTCTTTTGTCTCTGGTTTGTGAAAGCCGCTACCTTATAAAAAATAAAAGATTACTAACTCATGTATAGGATAATAATTACAACAAATACATATGTAGGGCATATGTGTGAGACTGAACAAAGCTGATTCTAAGACAAACTTGAGTACCGGAGCTTCCTCTTGTCTAAACACGGGTGCGCGTCCTGGCTTCCTCGCCCTGTCAGTTTTGGAGCGTCTCGGAGGCCGCCTTCTGCTGACTGCATCACTCCGCTGTCAGACTCTTCCTCTGCTGCCCCTAAGAACCGTGGCTCTCAGCGGATCCCTCTTGATGTTCCCCGTGTCCCTGTCACTCCGCTGTCTGCCGTCTCTCTCCCCTGACACCTCCTCCCACATAAACACCGGGTGACCACCTTGTCAGGTTTCTTCAATGGCGTCGCAAAGTGTGGTGACGTGACGTGTGGAGTAAGCTGTCAGTCTGCATGTGTACTCTTCGGAGTTCCACTGTAGAGATGTTGGATTACTATAAAGGCTGTTTTTTGGCATGATGTGGGGAGGGGAAAGGACAACACTCCCACCAAGGAAAACAAATGTATGTTAAATTCAATTCAATTTATTTTTGTGTTGACCTGAGTCACAACAGCAATAGTCTAGGAGGACTTTGGAAAGTTGTCAGCAACAAAAGATCAGAGAATCAAAAAGTATTGAACATTACAAAAACTCCAAAATTGATGATTTTTTTTAAATATTCAAATTATATATATTGCAAAAACTATTCAATAAAAAATCTTGGCGGGTTATGTTCGAACTGTGTTTTGATTTTTTGAGTGATGATCGATCAAAATCAAATAAATACAACACGCTGAACAAACTCATATTGACTCGGTGAAAGACAGATCCTTGATAGTTGTCAATGTATTTATGCATGTTTGAATTGGGTTCATATGAAGTTTGGTATAATCATCAGAAAGCTATTTTTTTCCTTTACTTAAAAACAAACGTACGACTTTTCAAATACCAAATGCAAATGCCAGAAGATAAACTAACTTTTTATCATAAATGTTTGTCCCAACAGAACGCCTTAATGCAGTTTTATGAACAAACCAGGCCACAACTTGCAGTCTTTTTCTTTCTTTCTTTAAACAGCATTAATTTTGTATTTATTTGATCATTTAATCTCTTTCATTCTGAGAGTTGAGTGAGGGCTGGTTCTTTCTTATTCCCTGAAAAAACTTATCTAAGGATGAGACGTTGAGAAGTACAGCACAGTGGCTGAGGGGATAGCACTCTCGCTTCTCAGCAAGAAGGTCCTGGGTTCAAATCCCGGTTGGAACAGGGCCTTTCTGAGTGGAGGTTGCATGTTCTCCTTGAGTCTGTGTAGGTTTCCTCCAGGGGCTCCGGTTTCCCCTACCACTAAAAACCTGCACAATAGGTATGAATGTAAAAACAGAGTGAATGGATGGTGTTGATTGGGGGCTGATGGTCCAGTGTGTTTGCGACTCGCTTCTGTCATCCCCGTGTGTGGAATGATTGGAACAATATCTGAACTCTGAACATTGTAAAGTCCTTTGGATGACCTTGAACTGTAAAATGCGCTATATAAATAAACATTACTTACAGAACATTTGTTATAAAACGATACAATTTTGAAAGTCAGGAACTAGATTCTAGGTTTCAACATTATGGGAAGTCATTTTGATATATGGTAGGATAAAAACAACATTCTTCCATATAATATACTGTATCATTATGTATAAAACACTAAGAAATTAAAATAATCTCCCACTGTGGTTATGTCCAAAAATGACTAGTCAGAAGTGAACTGCATTGTTTAACATCACCCCGAGCCCTGAACAAATCGACCCCAAACAAAATTAAGCCGATAAGTTAAGTTTGAGTGAGGAACCATTCATTGTATTTAACTTCCTGTAAATGTAGTTTTAACATCCCCGTCGTGTTTGCCAGTATTATCTTGTAATAAAAGCCCAAAATGTAAGTATAGAGCATATCTGACAGAAAATCTGATCCATCCATTTCCTCTCCAGCCTTTATATTTTTGTCACACTCTTTTCCAGAAATACATCAATACATTGATTTTCTGTAGCCGCGTTCGGATATAGCACAAGTGAGCCGTACAAAACATCCACAGCTCTTCAAACGCCGTAGGTTTCTTCTGACAAAAGCCCCTCAAGTGTTGCTCTTCCCTCCGCAGATCCGGCAGACTATAATAAACATGCTTGGCCTCGCGCCTTGTGCCCTCCCAGAATTATTTGGAGCCTGGATATGACTGGCGTTCATGGGAGAGTAGAGGAGCGGGAACCGTGTTTTTGACAGGCTGTGATAAATCAATATAGACTGTGTTGATAAGACCAGGTGGAGCGCGCCTGGAGAAGATGATCAGATGTTCCAGACGGCGGCTCCAAGTTCAATGATCACAGGAGACGATTGAGACATGGTGATCTTGACAAGCAGGGAGGCTAGGTCACTGGAGATGCTCAAAAATACCATTGTTAATTAGCTATTGGCTGCTATATAACAAATGTCTTTGTCATTAGTCACTTTTGAAACTGAGGGACTTCTCTTTCTTCTTGTAATTTACCACATTCACAAAGTATTGTCATTAATTATAATAATGTCGGCTTATTTTGGTTTAACTGTTGGACTATTGAACACTTGTAAGTATGAAATTCTATATCCCACAGAATTGATTTGAATGAAAGTAGTGCTTGTGGTTATATTAGTTACGTACATACTTTAGGTGTAAGCAGAGATTTTTTTTTATGTCCGGTGGTCCGGTCAAGCTGACTTTTCTTCCCGATAGCAAATTTCCTGTGTGAGAATACTGAGTCATTCCACAATCACAAATGAAGATAACAAGCCCTGAATATGTTATGGAACTCCACCCAATATCTGCCGCTTCGCCCGAGCACTCCTGCCGTCGATATATATCTATCGGTCCGCTCTTTATCTATCGCCCCCGGTGGACACACTGTTATTGTTCCCGGATTCATTTGAACCATGGTTCCACAATAACGGGCCATTGATCACTTCGTAATCACAGCGGGGTGCATGTATTGGCAGATCCTCGATGGGTACAATCGCTACATATTTCCCACTGATCTCCAGTGATCGAAGCTGACGTCTGGACTTTACTGTATGTACATGTCAAATGAATAAAGCCGGACTTGGACTGTAATGATCTGAAGCTAATGGTGCTGTCATACGAATCAGCACGTTCAGGGTATTTCAGGAAATGGTGGCTGTATTGATTGAGTGTAGCGCATTGTAAATCAAAGTTGCAAATTACAGTAACGTATTCAGATGTTGATCGCTCACTGATTGCTCCATCTAGATGATAGCAACCACTGTGCACGTATAATATTCACATTCTGGAATATGAGATAGATTTAGTGGGTTTATAATTGTTTTTGGTTGTTGACTTTTGACCAAAGAAAGGTGTAAACTAAACAATTGATTGGTGCAATATTTTTCGTCTCTTATACATGCAGGCATATTTCTCTAAATCAAATGTAGTTATTGCAAAATGTATTTACTTTATCATTCTGCGTGACCCTACTTTAGCCAGTTTACCAGCAATTCATAGTTCATGATATAGAATTCTATTTCAGTCGGACTGCAATCTCCAATACATGGAAAAGTATTCTGTTTTGGATAATGATTAGATTTACTCGCAATATTAAGTCCTTCCTTCACTTTTAGACATTCTTATGAGAAAATAATGAGACCGGAGTTGATATATTCTGATGAAGAAGATGTGGAACTTTAGGACAGTTTTTGTGTCATGTGGATTGGACCCGGAATTACAGAAAAATTAGCTAAAAACTAACTTTTGACAGTTACCAAAGTTTCAGCTCACCCTCCATGACAATGTTAAACTATAGGGCTCTTTGGAATGTTGTGACGTCACATGAATACAACCTATTCACTTATAATCTATGACAAAAGAGTCATTAAATCATGTCCTTCTCATCAGACGTAGTCCCTTCACCAATTTTCTCTCAATGTTGAATGATGCGCAGCCTGGACAACACTCACATCGATTGTGCCGGTAAGCGACTGGATTGGAATCAGAGTGGCCTATTAGCAGGTTTCACACATTTTTCTACCCCCATCGCTCCTATGCGGAGGCCGTAGTGGTAATGGGGTGAAAGATAGCTAACCACCGTCTGTCTCCCACCGTGTAAATTGGTGTGATAACAGTGGTTCACCAGGTGTCAAGACAAACCTTTTCCCTAATGGATGCGTATGTCGTGGATAATTGGAAGTTACTCAGGCATTGACTTTATTAGGAAAAGGCCAGGCGTTGTCGGCTATAGAGGAGAAATGCAGACAGGCTAATCGTAATTTTTTAAAGAATAGAGCTTCTGAAAAAGGCTGATAAATACGGTTTAATGGACGATTTGTGAATGGCATTAATGATATAGTTAGTCCAGCTCATGTCACCATAATGCCAACTGAGCAGCATCATTAGGCAGTAAGAAAAACTGTGAAAGGTAAAATATCTACAAAGGTCTAAAGAGCTGACAATTCAGGACCCAATGCAGAAAAAAATATTTAAGAAAAACTGTAATAGCTAGAAAGAGGAAGTACTGTAAGAGGTAGAAAGAAAATAGGGGAACAAGGCTTTATAGGCCTAAAGTAATGAGTTAGGTTGACCAAAATTGAAATGATTATAAACTTAGATATCCATTAAAAAGCACTCATATAGCACAGACTGAGGCATAGTTCCATTCTTTAAAAAAATCCTAGACGCAGATGCTTTGGATCACCTTCAAAATTGTATCATTTGCTAGTGCCATCTCCAAGATTTACTGAAAATGTCCTACAAATCCACAAACCACCACACAAATCCTGGTGATTGTAATACACCCTGGGGGTAGTAAATATGGAGTCATTTTAAAAGTGAATTCATTCGAGAGAGCTAAGAAAATAAGAGATTTTTATACATACTGTGATGCTAAATAATATAATAAAAATGCATTGGTTTTAAATAGCGCTTTTTGGACACTTAACAATGCTTCATATGCAACAGAATGATAGAAGCGAGGCAACCAGTATGCGCCATCGGCTTCTTCGACCACCATTTACTCACACACCGAAGTGTCCTGCATAAGGACACAACCACAGTTTGCCATAACAGTGGCAGAGGTCTCCCAACACAGCACTAACCACTGCCTGTTCTGCTTAGCTTCAGCACCAGATGCAGGTACTGTAGTGCTACAAATCCTCTATACGTTTAGAACAT